TTAATCTCCTTTTCTCTCACCATCTTAAGGGTATCCGAGAAATCAAATTGGAAGCAACAGATTTGGAGTTTCCGCAAGAATAAACTCTGCCGCTCGGAAACTGGAACATCCCGGAACATAGGTAGATTCTCAATGGTTCCAGGAAGAGGAACCACTCCAGACGTGGCAGGAAGTTGCTGAAATTGGGATGAAACAGGTAGTGGGCCACCACGGGAGGCATGGTTTACAACAATATTGGATGTAGAGACAGGACCGGAGCTCCGTCCGGTCGGAGCACAGACATAATCAACAGCGGTGCCATCCGATTTTGCCACCTTACGGTGGCCTCTCTTCATGATTTTATTGAACATCTTCCCCCTCTATAACAATTAAAACCCTAACCCTAAACGCCACATATGCATGTAGATACAATACATGTTGTATATATAATTAATTCACGTGTAACAAAATCTAAATCGTGAGAAGCAGTACCCAGAAAAGGAGATTAAATTGGACTGAGAAATAAAAATGTAACTATGCAATAAATAAATGGATCTAAACGCGTAATTTCCCGGGAGCGCATAGATCGCCGGCGACTGGAATATTCCGGCGATCAAACCGGCGAGAGAGAAGGGAAGAGAAACAAGATAGCAAGTATAGATATAGATAAATACATACATATATTCGTAGCGAGAGACGAAATTAGGGATTTTACTGGTGGAGGGAGTGGCGGAGTGTGTGGCGTACAATACATGTAAACTAATTATTAAATGCGCCCTTTTGACATTTCCTGGAAATTGTTCCCAATTTTTGATACCATAATTTTATTTCTTTTTTCATTTTATTATTTTTCTTCTTAACTTTGGTTATGTGACTTATGTCCATTTCATTAAAGTTAAATTTGCATAAATATCGTTTCATCTTCACACGTTTTTCTCCATCTCGTTAAGCCCCCGTTGACCTCCATTAAAATCAATTTTTTGAAAAAATAAATTTCAAAATAGTGATTTTTCGAATAATATGTAGTTAAAAAGTTAAAACAAATTTTAAATTTATATGAAAAATATTTTATTGTATGAATGTGAATTTGAAAATGAGTTTAATTTAATAGATGTCAAAGAGGTACTAACATTTGCTTTGAATCTTCTTGGATTGAACATGATCCAACAATAAAATTTAAAATACCCGAATGATTCCAGTATCTTCTTTAATTCTACGTTGATTCCGGTGGTTCACTGGCAATGGCAGGGGCTGTAGTTTCGATTGCCTTTACCTTCTATTTGAAATTTCAGTACATATATCTCTCGTAAAACTATCTTGTTCTAAACACCAAGATCAATGAAACTATTATGTAATAATAGTAAAACACAATCTACAACATTTTCCTGCTGAACATGTTAAATCTTGTTCTTCTCTTGTAAGCCCCTTGGCATCCATCGGCTTTAGTGCCTCTTTATCAATTGGGCTTGCAAAAGCTCCAAATTAGAACAATGTAGAGTAGTATTTGAGGCCAAATGTTTCTAATATTATCACGAAAAGTAATCGCCACTGCATACCGAAGCAGTACCAGATGATTAAAAAGGCGATATAAAGAGAATTTGGAAGGAAAAAGACCAAAAAAGGGTGAACGTAAGCATTAAAGGTCGAGGGAATTTATACTTCGATTTTAGAGATGTAGCTTGTTGGGCTATGATGCCAATTTTTTCTTAGGGCAATGATGATAAGGCTAAGACCCAAAACTATTTTCTACTAAGACATGCAATTACCCCATAAAGTCACTTGACCAAGTTATTCAAGCCCAATGCACTAAAGTCGTGTGTTAAGGCGTGGCACTTTTACTTTGCAGCCTCACACGATTTCTTCTTTGTTTGAGTCATTTGGAAAATGACTGTTAGATTGGAATCTGATCAATGGTTGGATGTCAGCCTATTCATTAGTTTTTAAGATTGGCGCAGTGTGTGTATTTTGTGACTTTCCCTCTTTCCTTCTTGTTCATCTTCCAATCTTTGATTGGAAGCTGGTTTTCTTTTATATTTTTTGTGTAATCTTGATACTCGTGGCTTGAAAGGAGGTGATATGAGTTAATCCGTCCTTGTCGCTTCCTTTAATTAATAAAGGGGTGCTTGAGGATTTGAGTTAGAGTTTTGGTCACACAAACGGATACAATTCGTTTTATTTTGAGCCCGTTGAAATATCTTCATTCTTGATGCCTTAGATGTATCTTGAGAAAGTGATAAAGTAAATCATGCTTTTTAAAGTTTCTGTAATTTTTCTCAAGTTTAATGAATGTTTTAGTTCAATATTTTGTATAGCAGTGGTATCAGAGCCATTCGATTGGCTATTCTGGGTAAATGTTCTAGTGATATACGGTCGATCTTAAGAATATTGGGGGTTGTAAACCCTAGATCTGGTAAATCTGAAGCGGATTTGAGGTTTTTCTTGGGGAAAAATATTTTACGGTGTCGCGATTTGTCTATCTCCGATTGTGTGGACTGTTGTTTTGGTGAGATTTGTTGGTGGTCAAGTGAAATGACCATTACCTTGGTTTGCTCTCTCAAATCCTATTCTTTTGTCAAGAGCCTATTATTTCTTGACTGATATCCATTGATTGATTGTCTCTTTAGTGTTGTGGATAAACTGTTATATACCTATTTTAGATTGCAATAGCTTTGCAATTCTATATTTCACATTTTTTTGGGGAACTTTCTACAGAATACTTCTGCCCTCCACTCTGCCTTTACCTGAGATCTTGAGTCTCACGAAATCCTGGTAGAGCTGAGCAATTGATCTTCAAAAAAATTAACTCGTGTTGACTAAGTTGGGTACATTCACTTTCTAATGCTACAATTACATAATTCTATCTCGTTGAATGTATGCTATCTAAATGTAATGTGCATGTTACATGAGATTCATCTCATAAAATTGTGATCATGTGTACTCAACTGTTATTTTTTTAGAGGATCTTTATTGTTTTGCTTGCATATCAGAATCTCTATCTCTATTTGCCTAATGTGATCAAACTTCTATCTCTAAGTATGATTAGTTTGATTGATAATAGGACTACTACTAGTTTTGAACTTGGGGTCTTTAATTGAAAATGAGACTTTCCTATATAGCAACAGAGATGAGGGGGTTTTAGTCCAACAGAAAGTATCTAAGGCTATAACTGGTGAATTCCCAGCAACAATGACTATTGATCAGAGAGCTGAATATGATGAACTTGTGTATACCTCTATTATCCTTCATTTGTCTGATCAAGTGTTAAGGAATGTACGAAAACTTGATAATGCTAATGCCCTATGACATAAACTTGAAGGTTATATTTAGCCTAGTCTTTACCTAAAGAACTTTTCTAGAAAAACTGTTCCTCCTAGAAAAGTTCTTTAGTTTTAAGATTGATTCATCCAAAGACTTAGATGCTAATCTTGATACCTTTAATAAATTGATAAAAGATACCGCTAATGCTAAGGATAAGATATCTGAATAATACAAGACAGTTATACTTCTTAATGTTGTACTACAGGCATACAAAGATGTCAAAATTACCATTAAGTATGGTAGGGATACTTTGACTCCTGATGTTGTTATAAATTCTTTAAGAAGTAAGGAATTAGAACTTTAAAACTAAAAAATGTGGAAAGGGATTAGAGTACCTGTTCATGAGAGGTAGATAGTTAAATAGGCAAAGTAATACTCCTGACAAATCATAATCATTCAGGAAATAATAATAGGAAGAAATTCAAGAGTAAGTCAAGGTTCAAAATCTAAATCAAGGAATAGAAAGTGTTGTAGTTGTGGAAAGTAAGACATTGTATAAAAGATTGTCAAAATAAGAAAAATAAACAAAGAGATAAGAAAATAGATGAGGGAAATTTGATTGAACCAATTGAACCTAACACTATTGATGTGTATAAAGTTACCCGACAGTTTGATATGAAATTGGCAAGTTATGTTGATAACATACAGCATGTCCATGAATGGATTTTGGATTTAGACTGCAACTTTCATATTACACATGAAAGGTCTTGGCTTCAAGATTTTAAGAAGATAAGTGGTAAAGATGTAGTGATAGAAAAAATGACATTGCATGTAATGTTGAGGGATTAGGTAATGTACCTCTAAAATTTAGAGATGGCTACATGTATACCCTAGAAAGAACCTGAACTCAACAGATATCTAATTTCAATGGGAGAATTAGATGATCAATGGATATGTGGTAGGACTGGATATGACATGATAAAGTGATTAAAGGATCCCTTGTCATCTTCAAGGGAGTCAAGAAAAAATGGAATTTATATTACTAGAGCTGAAATAATGCTTGAGAATGCTATTATAGTATTTAGTGCTGACCCCGATTCCACCTTAAAATGACATAAACAATTAGGTAATGTGAGTGAAAAAGGCCCCAATATTTTGCACAAAATGGAGGGTGTTTGGAAAAGATTTAACCCTTATTTAAGCCCCATTTTGGGGGAGAATGCACATTGAATAGTAGATTGATGGTGAATATGTAGTTAAAAATTAAGAATTTTTTTTTTGAATTTTACGTGTAATATTATTTTATTGAAAAATATGTGGTTGAAAATGAGTTTTCAGAAAATGAATTTCTAGAAGGATGGGGCTCAAACAAGGGCTTAATATCAAACTACCCTTTTGCAAGAACTCCCCATTTGGAAAACACCATAGACTGTATTTCAATTCTAGAAAACATAAAACCACTTCTCTACTAAAATATGTTCACTCTGATCTATGGGATCCTGCCTTCACAACCACTCAAGGTGGGAACAAGTATTTCCTTTCAATAATTGATGATTTTTCAAGAAAAATGTGGGTTTTTCTTTTAAAACATAAATCTGAAACCTTTGAAAAATTCAAAATTTGGAAGGACGTAATTGAAAATTAGACGTTAGTAAAGATTAAAGTCCTAAGAACAAATAATGGATTAGAATTTTGTAATTCTAAATTTGATAAATTCTGTGAACAAAATGGAATTTTGAGACACAAGACTATCCCATACACCAATAAAATGGGGTTGCTAAGAGAATGAATAGGACCTTACTTGATAATGTTAGCTGCATGTTTCTGTTCACTATATTCCCATTCAAACTAAAACAAAAAACTAATGTGTTCAAGAAGAAAATCAAATTGAGACTAACAATCCCGGCCAAGAAAACGAACTGAGTGACTATCAATTGGCTAGGGATAGGCCTAGAAGGAACATTAGAGAACCTGTTAGATATAATGATTGTCTATCCTTCTCTGTCCTGTCATACCAAGATCTTGCTCATAAAAGCCTAAGACCTATAATGAAACTGTGAGTTGTAATCAATCTAACATGTGGGAGTCTGCCATGAGGGAAGTGATAAGTTCTTTAATGAAAAATAAAACTTGGGTTCCTATTCGAAGACCCAAAGATAAATCCATTATTGACTGTAAATGGATTTACAACTTTAAAGAAGGCAGTTCTAATAATGAGTCTTTAAGATTTAAGGTCAGACTTGTAGCTAAGGGGTTTACACAAAAACACGGTGTGGATTACAATGAAAATTTTCACCTATTGTGAAAATACTATTGTTAGAGTCTTACTTGCATTAGTTGCTCATCATAATTGGGAACTTGAACAAATGGATATATAAACAGCTTTCTTACATGGCGATTTAGATGAAACCATTTACATGTTTCAACCTAAGGGTTTTGTAAATGAATCCAAATCTGACTATGTGTGTCTACTTTAAAAATCTTTATATGGATTAAAACAATGACCTAGACAATAGTATAAGAGATTTGATAACTTTTTCATGACTGTTGGTTTTGTAAGAAACTCTTCTAATCATTGTATTTATTTTAAAAGGAATTATAAATACGTTATATCTATTTGTCTATTACTATATGTTGATGACATGCTCCGAATTGGACTTGATTTGAAACAGATAAATGATATAAAAGAAGTTTTTAGAACTGAGTTTAAAATGTAAATTTTGGGTCACGCTAAAAGGATACTTGGGATGGACATTGTTAGAAAAAGATTTAAATCTATATTAATTTTGAAACAATCTGTATACATTGAGAAGATCTTATCTAAGCTTTACATGCATGAATCAAAATCTATTTCCTTGCTTTTAGCTAGTCATTTCAAACTTAATAAAAAGCAAGGCTCAATTGATGAATCTGATATAATATATATGGAAAAGGTTCCCTATGCTAATGCTGTGGGATCTATTATGTATACTATGGTCAGTAATAGACCTGATGTAGCTCATGTAATCAGTACTCTAAATAGGTTTATAGCCAAACCTGGTCCTGAACACTTGGAAACTCTTAAGTGGCTTCTTGGATATTTGAAAGGCACATCCCAATTAGGATAAGTGTTTGAAAACTGCAATAAAGTAGCGATACTAAAAGATTTTGTTGATGCTGACTTTGCTGGTGACAGAGACAATAGAAAATCCACATCTGCTTATATGTTTAGTTTTTGTGGTACTTGTGTAAGTTGGAAATCTTAGTTGCAGCTCATTGTTGCTTTGTCAACAACAGAGGCCGAATGTGTGGCAGCCACAGAGGTTATAAAGAAAGCCTTGTGGCTCAAAGGGTTGTCATTTAAAATTAATATGCTTATTGTATCTGTTATTGTCGATTCTAATAATCAAAGTGGAATACATTTATGTAAGAATCCTATTTTTCATGAAAGAACAAAACATATGGATGTAAAATTGCATTTTATTAGAGATACTATCCCTATCTCTAATGAATATGTCTTTCTTGAAAAAATTCCAATACGGTTCAATCCATCAGATATAGGAACAAAGGTATTGTCTCTTTCAAAATTTAAATCATGTTTGGCGCTTTTGAACATTAATACTAGTTAAATTTTGGCTTGCATGTACTACTTGGTGTCAATTGGAAGACAACAATTATGGCTGAAAATCCATTGGCATCAACGTAGAGGTTGTGGGCTGTGATGCCAATTTTCCCTTGGGGCAATGATGATAATGTTAAGGCCCAAAACTGTTTTCTACTAAACACATGCAATTGCCCAATAGCATGACCTAACCCAATTCCCCGAGCCCAATGTACTAAAGTCGTGTTTTAAGGCCTGGCACTTTTACTGTTGCAGCCTCACCCGATTTCTTCTTTGTTTGAGGAGTCATTTGGACTGTTAGATTAGAATCCAATCAATGGTTGGATGCCAATGTATAAATATTGTTTTTGCTACCCTATTCATCAGTTCTTAGGGTTTGCACTGTGTATGTATTTTGTGACTTTTCCTCTCTCTTTTGTGTTCATCTTTCAATCTCTGATTGGAAATTGGTTCTCTCGGATTCTTTGTAGTAATCTTGATACTTCGTGTACTAAAAAGAGGTGGTGTGAGTTAATCCGTCCTCGTGGCTTCCTTTAATCAATAAAGGGATGCTTGAGGATTTGGGTTAGGATTTTGGTCACAGAGATGGGTACAATTCGTTTTGTTCGAAGCCCCATTGAAATATCTTCATTCTTGATGCCTTGGATGTATCTTGAGACTGATAAAGAAACTCTTGTATTTTTTAAAGTTTCTGTAATTTTTCTTAAGTTCAATGAATGTTTCAGTCCAATACTTTGTATAACATAGCCAGATGAAAAATGCTTGAGTATGGTAAGGTCCTTACCTTGGTCCAGTGGATTGAACATGTATTTCGTGCAAGAGATGGGCTTCCGAGGATTTACTCGAGCCCGAGAGGGTGATGATATAGGCGGCAATTCTGCTGGCAATTGTGTTGATTTGATTCTGAGAGGACTTTTAATCACTGCTTTGAATTTTTTTTGCTCTTCCATGCATAGGTTCTTGTTTGATGACAGGCAAGAGGAGCAAAGACCAGAATAAGCACAAAAACAACATACTCAATCCTAGTAAAAGTAAGCTTGTTTTGAATAAGAATTATGAATTATGATTATAAGAAAACCCGAGTGATACTTACAGTATGCTGTAGAAAACGTTGACCTCATTTTCAAGTTGAATCATTGGTAGAAACACGATTTTTGACAGCAGCTGGAAGCCAGGCTATTAGCAAATAAGGGATTGGCATCATTTCCATGAAGAGCATGGTAAAACTGTCATAATTGCACAACTTAAACCAACAAAACCTTTTGAAAGACCACTCTTGCGGAAATTCTTAACGCAAGTAATCAAAGTCTGTGTTTGCAAAAGCCCATGACTGGCTCCAATCCATATGTGCAAGCACATTTTCCGTGCAGGGGGTTCTGCAGCCCGACCAATCACAACTAACCATATCATGAAGTAGTCGAAGAAGTTTCATTAACAAGCCCAGATATGATTCCGAGGTTCCCTCCCAAGTCCTTGAAGCTCACTAAGTTAAGCGATGTCTGAAAAAATCCTAACGAAGACTTGATGTCATTAAGAGTATACACCAACTAAGTATGTTGCACCATTTACGCACATTATTAGGATCGAAGCAAAGATTGGGAACCATCAACTGGACAGCATGCGGAATCTAAAGCCCACTGTCCGTCTCCAAAAATCATCACCACCACTGAGATTAGCCATTGTCGAATTTCTAGTTATTTTAATCCTTTCGGTACATTTAACAATGTAAGTAAACGACGTGACGTTAGTTATTTGTATATTGATAGGAATGAGTCAATTTATTAACGCTTCATCTATTCATAATAGAAATGAGATTATACATAGCATTTCTTTTTGAAACTATTCAATCATCACATAGGCTTGTAACACTTGAATGGACTTTCACGGTATATTCCCATATATATATAAAAGAAAGAAATTAGAACAATGCTAGGTGCAATTTCTCGTTTGTTCATTGCAAAAATCACAAAAAATAAAAATAAAAAATAATAAAGAAGACCAAATCAAAAGCTGCCAACGCAACATTTGGAACACTTCTATAAGGTACTTTTTTTTTTTTTTCAGCTCATTGTTGCTTTGTCAACAACAGAGGCCGAATGTGTGGCAGCCACAGAGGTTATAAAGAAAGCCTTGTGGCTCAAAGGGTTGTCATTTAAAATTAATATGCTTATTGTATCTGTTATTGTCGATTCTAATAATCAAAGTGGAATACATTTATGTAAGAATCCTATTTTTCATGAAAGAACAAAACATATGGATGTAAAATTGCATTTTATTAGAGATACTATCCCTATCTCTAATGAATATGTCTTTCTTGAAAAAATTCCAATACGGTTCAATCCATCAGATATAGGAACAAAGGTATTGTCTCTTTCAAAATTTAAATCATGTTTGGCGCTTTTGAACATTAATACTAGTTAAATTTTGGCTTGCATGTACTACTTGGTGTCAATTGGAAGACAACAATTATGGCTGAAAATCCATTGGCATCAACGTAGAGGTTGTGGGCTGTGATGCCAATTTTCCCTTGGGGCAATGATGATAATGTTAAGGCCCAAAACTGTTTTCTACTAAACACATGCAATTGCCCAATAGCATGACCTAACCCAATTCCCCGAGCCCAATGTACTAAAGTCGTGTGTTAAGGCCTGGCACTTTTACTGTTGCAGCCTCACGCGATTTCTTCTTTGTTTGAGGAGTCATTTGGACTGTTAGATTAGAATCCAATCAATGGTTGGATGCCAATGTATAAATATTGTTTTTGCTACCCTATTCATCAGTTCTTAGGGTTTGCACTGTGTATGTATTTTGTGACTTTTCCTCTCTCTTTTGTGTTCATCTTTCAATCTCTGATTGGAAATTGGTTCTCTCGGATTCTTTGTAGTAATCTTGATACTTCGTGTACTAAAAAGAGGTGGTGTGAGTTAATCCGTCCTCGTGGCTTCCTTTAATCAATAAAGGGATGCTTGAGGATTTGGGTTAGGATTTTGGTCACAGAGATGGGTACAATTCGTTTTGTTCGAAGCCCCATTGAAATATCTTCATTCTTGATGCCTTGGATGTATCTTGAGACTGATAAAGAAACTCTTGTATTTTTTAAAGTTTCTGTAATTTTTCTTAAGTTCAATGAATGTTTCAGTCCAATACTTTGTATAACATAGCCAGATGAAAAATGCTTGAGTATGGTAAGGTCCTTACCTTGGTCCAGTGGATTGAACATGTATTTCGTGCAAGAGATGGGCTTCCGAGGATTTACTCGAGCCCGAGAGGGTGATGATATAGGCGGCAATTCTGCTGGCAATTGTGTTGATTTGATTCTGAGAGGACTTTTAATCACTGCTTTGAATTTTTTTTGCTCTTCCATGCATAGGTTCTTGTTTGATGACAGGCAAGAGGAGCAAAGACCAGAATAAGCACAAAAACAACATACTCAATCCTAGTAAAAGTAAGCTTGTTTTGAATAAGAATTATGAATTATGATTATAAGAAAACCCGAGTGATACTTACAGTATGCTGTAGAAAACGTTGACCTCATTTTCAAGTTGAATCATTGGTAGAAACACGATTTTTGACAGCAGCTGGAAGCCAGGCTATTAGCAAATAAGGGATTGGCATCATTTCCATGAAGAGCATGGTAAAACTGTCATAATTGCACAACTTAAACCAACAAAACCTTTTGAAAGACCACTCTTGCGGAAATTCTTAACGCAAGTAATCAAAGTCTGTGTTTGCAAAAGCCCATGACTGGCTCCAATCCATATGTGCAAGCACATTTTCCGTGCAGGGGGTTCTGCAGCCCGACCAATCACAACTAACCATATCATGAAGTAGTCGAAGAAGTTTCATTAACAAGCCCAGATATGATTCCGAGGTTCCCTCCCAAGTCCTTGAAGCTCACTAAGTTAAGCGATGTCTGAAAAAATCCTAACGAAGACTTGATGTCATTAAGAGTATACACCAAGTATGTTGCACCATTTACGCACATTATTAGGATCGAAGCAAAGATTGGGAACCATCAACTGGACAGCATGCGGAATCTAAAGCCCACTGTCCGTCTCCAAAAATCATCACCACCACTGAGATTAGCCATTGTCGAATTTCTAGTTATTTTAATCCTTTCGGTACATTTAACAATGTAAGTAAACGACGTGACGTTAGTTATTTGTATATTGATAGGAATGAGTCAATTTATTAACGCTTCATCTATTCATAATAGAAATGAGATTATACATAGCATTTCTTTTTGAAACTATTCAATCATCACATAGGCTTGTAACACTTGAATGGACTTTCACGGTATATTCCCATATATATATATAAAAGAAAGAAATTAGAACAATGCTAGGTGCAATTTCTCGTTTGTTCATTGCAAAAATCACAAAAAATAAAAATAAAAAATAATAAAGAAGACCAAATCAAAAGCTGCCAACGCAACATTTGGAACACTTCTATAAGGTACTTTTTTTTTTTTTTGTACATACGATTTTTTCCAAAAAATTATATATAGGTCTTTATTTCTTTCATATGTCAAATAATTTTCTAAAAAGTTCAATAGAAAAATATACGCAGCTCCATATTCCAAGTTTAAAATCACTACAAATAAGTTTGGCATTGTTTGGCATATTACCCTGTATGGAAAAGCTAAATAACATTATAAATTGGTTGTAAGCAATACTTAACCTTGCTAAATATTAGATTTTTAGTAGGTTTCAATAAAAGTTGATGAAATTTATGATCAAAAAGTTGTAAATCCCATGAAATATGGAACTAAAATTAATTGTTGATTTTACTTAAATTTATCATAATTTTAAGCTAAACCAAACAGGGGCTAATATAATTGGATTGTTTCACTTAGCTTTTAGTGTTTAACAGCATTCTGTGATTGCCTTTCAAGCAGATAGATTCCACAAACGGGGAAGATAACATATAGGTAAGTCCTGATTAGAATCTTACAGGAAGAAAGCACAGATCAATTTTTCTTGCATCAGTCAAATCTCAATAAACTTCATTGATTAAAGCAATCTAAGAACATCCATATACTTTATGCTTATGGCATTCCATCAATTCGTTTTTCTTTTTCTTTTTCTCCTTTTCAGTTTCCAAAGGAAAATCTACATAATATTTTCCTTAAATGTTCATACACAGGAAACTCCAAACTTCAATCTTGCTTGACATCATCCACTCCTACAGATTTTTTTGAAGGATCTGGGGGTACAATGTTCTGTTCTCCTGCAACCTGTTGATACATAGAGTTGTAGCCCATTAACCATTTGGAAGAGTTGTGAAACTAAAAAGAAGATGGAGTAGAAATTGGTAACAGATACCACAAGCGGAGAGGAAACACCGCGAATCTTAATAGTGCGAGCTGAAGAAAGAGGGGCTTAAACTAAAATCGTTTTAAACAATTCACAGAGCAACACCAAACAAAATAATCATTGATCATATTAAGTTGCAGCAAGAAATGGTTTGGGTCTAGGATGAGTGCATTTTAAAATTCCAAAAATATGTAGTTGGAATTTTTTGTTGTCAGTAATCCGATGATAATATAATTCTGTATGGTTTTTAGTACATTTAAAGGAAAAATAGTATAGAAATACCATTCATTAACGGTAAAAAAGAAAAAAATAACAAAAGAGGAAGATTGAAAGGCTGGTACAGAAGTAAATATATACCATTTAAAGGCTTGGCATTTAGGTAATGAAGTTGAGAGGACTAACTCCAGAGTCCCAAAAATATGCGGGGGCAAGAATAGCACAGAGCAGAACTGGAAACAAAGGATTTCATAATTGTAGATTGTTGGTTCTAAAGCCTAATTCAAAGAAAACTTACAAATGACTTTAGCCAGCCGTCACTTCAAATCTATAGACACTATAGTTGCAATTTTGTGAACTGGCCAGGGTACCTATATCTCATTCAAGTGCAAAAGGACTCCATTCAGGTCCAGGATAGCGAATTTCGGGCCCATAAGTTTTAAATCCATTAAAGCATACAGCAGCAAACCATGAAGGTACAATTACGTCCATTTTGCCCTTGAAAATTTTAGCACAGGTTGTCATAGGATATCCACATTTCCAGTTCACCATCAACAATTTTTAGCACAGGCTGTTCCACAGTGCATACTATTTGATTGTTGTGCCTTATTTAGTCAAACAAAATAATACATCTAACCCTCAATTGGTGGATGACTTACATATACAATTGCAGCATGTCTACATAGACTTGCAGAGTTTTATATTGGTATCCACATTGGCCATAAATTAAGTTTTAACTTTAAAACAGAAAAAGGAGATCCTATGAATGGTTACCAAATTATGCTACTCATTTTCTAAAAAAGTGGACATTGGCTGTAAGCCTATTTAAATGGACTCTGGCTACAAGCCTTATGGATCTTCTTTAATATAGCCCCTGTTTGGCCTCCATCATAGTAAGGTTTTGAAGAAAATGTATTTTGAAATAGTAATTTTTTGGAGAATGTATGGTTAAAAAAGAAGGAATTGTTTAAGGTTTATGTGTAATATTATTTTATGGGAGAATGCGTGGTTGAAAATGAGTTCTAGAATAATGCATTTTTGAAAAATTGGAGCCCAAACACGGCCATGGTCTTATTGTTTCTCAAGAAATATATTTTATCTAAATACAAAATTTGATGACTCTTCTTTTCACTGTGAAGGACTTCAGTGATCCTTCAAATTCAACCAAACAAAACACACTCTATTCTTTAAGATAAATGGAAGAGCAGGCATTCGACCTCAATCGAATGCTCTAGTAGCAGCCAATCCACATTTTTGCTTTCAAATTTCTTGAACTTCCTTTTTTTTTGGGAGACCACTGAACTATTCGATTGCAGTTTGCATTTGGAAGTGAAATTTTCTCATACTAACATGCTATCAGCAACAAAAACTTTGATTTTATCAAATGGACACCAAGATGTTGATCCGTGGTAATGCCATTTCCTTGAGCTTTAGAAAAACAGGCAAAATTTAGAGAGACGGAGCAAACAAGTCGTAGAATGATAACGAAGAGTGGAGGGCATTAAAGAGAACAGGAACAGCACAGTCAACAGCCACAGATAATAGCACTGGAAACGGGGGAGAATGAGGGGACTGGTGCAGAAGGCATCATACTCAAGTAGGCAGATACGAACCTTAGTTTACATTGGACGAGATAGTGTTCCCGCACAAACGGGAACCTTGACACTTTGGCCGATAAGAGGATGCAACATGTTTCAGTCAGTATCCAGTTTAGTCATTTTTAACTCCCAGGAACAGGAAGATTGAATTTACAATATTTAAGTGCAGTAGAAAGACGAGTTTCTGAATAGGTAATCTGAAGGCCTAAATATAGCAGTACTTAACTAAAAAATACTATTTGGAAAGGCGGTAAAGGAAAAAAAATTTGGCGGGTACCCTGATTCGCAATGTTGTATTCAAGGTAGATCTACCTCTTATCCAACATTAAGGAAACTAAATATTTTGCAACTACCTCAGGACATACTAGTTATATTCTACAATCTAAACCTTTTTCTTCTAACTTGTTCTACTAGGGTTCATAATTTGGGTACAAAAGTTTCTTCAGATTTTCATAAGACACATGCTAACAATCAAACACTCTTCCCTTAATTTGTGCTTAATTGGTAACTCTAAACTTGTTGGCATTTATTTTATCTATTCTAAAAGACAAGTGAATTAATAACTTCCTTTTTGCTTGGTTTATAGTGTAGATAATTTTTCATTTGATGGCACAACACTCGGTACCAAAAATCATAGCTAGCTAATAGCCATTCTATAAGACTTGCTTTTTAACTTGATATGCACATTTTGATGACACTGAATTCTTGTAGGACTAAGGGGGTGTTTGAGCCACATTATTTTGGTAATAATGCATTCTTGAATAGTGTATTGATGGGAAATGTGTGGTAAAAAAATAAGGAAACTTTTTTGATTTACGTGTAATATTATTTTATTGAAGAATTTGTGGTAGAAATGATGTCAAATCACTGTTTAAGAATGCATTTTTTTGGAATAATGTGGCTCAAACAGGCTCTAAATATTTGGTCCAACCTAATATGATGTTATGCAATACATTTTTTACAAGTTTTTATGCTTATTAATGGTCAAAAATAAATAGATGTAACAATGAAAGAAAGGAAGTGGTAAAAAGGGATTTATGTAGCCAATCTTAAATTTATTGGAACATAACTTAGTTTAAGTTGTATTTACAGAGAATATTGACAAGCTTACGGTCCCAAAGTGCATTCAGTTTTAATTTAATTAATCTTATGAATCAACATGTAACAGGCCTTAAAAATAGCAGATCTCAAAGAGAGCTGCAATTACCTTGATCTATTTCAAGTTTTGAAATCGTGAATTATCCATGGCTAATTCCTAATTCCCTACAACTGTTGACAAAAATAAAGATGGGCTTATAAAAATTGCTAGTATAGAAAACTCTTGGCGTTACTTCGACGGACACTTCAAACACCTAATCCCCTAGGTTCATAATAATAGATATCAATTTGTGTTCAAAAATAAGTCTTTAGATAACATTTGCTCATGGATCACAAAATATGTCCTAGCATCTATATCTTCTAATAAAACTATTCACAAAGCAAACAACCCAAAAAAACTCACAAACCAACATTTTATCAAATCAACGACATGAAGTAAAGATATCAGAAAACAAAAATTAAAAATCGCAGTATATATGCAACATAAACGCACGCTCGTGCAAGTATGACTTACCGAATTGTTGATAGAGGTCTTATTCGCAGAGGGTTTATATGGACAAGCAGGGGGAACTCTCGCTGGCTTCCGATATTCCCACCCGAATAAACTATAGACCTTTGCCTAAAAACATTTTCTGAATAAAATTAATCTCTTAAAAATTGTAAACCAAAATAAAATTACATAATAATAGCCGAGGAAAAAACAAACCATGATCAGATCGAAGAGGACAGGCAATAAATTGACGATCGGCACAAGGAAGAGTGGTAACAAACACGCCAAGCAAACCTATACAAGTGTGTGAGATAGAGATTACTGATTATAGATATATAAATACAAAATGAAATTGAATCAAAGCGAGGTCTGAGGATTGAGAATTCACCATTTTTGCAGAGTTCAATTTGCCTGATTCCTCCCCTTTTCGTTTGCGCTTGGACGACGATTGGTTTATAATAGAATATGTTGGCGAGTTTTGGCTGGTTAGGAGCTTCTTTGGTATACGGAAAATTAATTTTTTAACTATTTCAATTGTTATTTTTGAATTTTTTTCGTAAAAACCACTTTATCTCTGATAATTAAAAAATTAATTATCAAAATACCTACCAAACAAACACTAAATTTCCAAATATCATATTTACTCCCCCAAATTTTGATAAAAGTCAAACACGACTTTGAAAATTTAAAAATATTACACTAAAGACTAATGTTGTGAAAGCTGGCCTTAGCATTCACCAAAAAGAGTTAAAGGGTCGAATGGTCGACCCATGCTCCAACCAGGGGTAAATTAATCAATTAAATGAAGAAAAAACAAAATTTAAGGATGATCAACTGGTTAAATATTTCAATTTTTTAGAACTTTACCCAATACTTTTAATTATCATTGATTTAGAAATTCATTTGAACATTAATTAATTATCTCCAACTTGTATACTACCACTAGGCAAATCCCCACATTTATAGTCTATTATTTTCGTACACTAGCCACGCATCAGAATAATTCTACTTGGACATAATTCTGTCCAAACAGGTCAGGCACCCTGTTAGTCGGGGGTGTCACATGCCCACCTATTTGGACAGAATCATATCCAAGTAGCAAGGCCCTACTCATCAGTATGTGTTAAAAAAAAACAATAATAAATAAAAAATTCACCCCTTTCATAGGTATTGTCAAAACAGGTCAATTACCTAACCAAAAACTTGACATTTCTTATGCATATTTTCAAGAAAGTATACAAAAATCCAAGATATACACCCATTTTATGATACTGAATACATTTATGATTGGACAAAACTTTTGAATCGAATCAGACCTGATCTGCATCGAACCGAACCGAATCGAACGAGCGATTCTTTTTAAATTAAATATCCGAATGGATAAATGAATTGAGAACCAACGTGTTTGATTATATTTTCGATTCTAAATCAATTATCAAGAAATCGAATAAGAACTTAATCTTTCTAATTTTATTAATTAATTTATTTTAAATAAATAAAATTATTTTATTTTTTTCTAAATGAATTTTCTAACTAATTAATTTAGCTAAACCAAAAATATAGCTTGTGTTTGGAGTCTTTGGACGCCATTAATTCAATCAGAATTAATTTTTTCCATCACGTCAAGTGGGGCCTACATTGTAGCATGTGAACGAGTGAGTTTATTATTTGTGCACCCTTTTCCATTTCTATCCCTATTTGTCAAATTTCTTGGCAAAATGTGCTTGAGTGTTATAGGTAAAAGAGAAAGTAAAAGATTAGAAAGGTACAACCTTTTGTCATTCATGTGTCAGATGGCACAAATATTGAATGCTCAAATACAACGGTCGGTAAAATTTCAAAAATGAGGTTAAAACGGATATTAAATAGGGCCATTATTACTCTATTTCTAATTTTCAGTTCAATCTCAACTCTATCGTAGTAGCGTTTCTATTGTCTAGAAAAATCAAATTGAAACTCGACTGTGCATTTCTTATTATTGTGAACTCGCTAGCTTCTTCTTGTTGTGATTTTAACATGTTATTAGTTGAATTAATGTAACTTTATAAATATTAAAAAATTTAATTATTATATGAAACTCAAGAGCCGAATAAAATCAAACATAACCCTAATAGTTTCATAGTTAAATTTGTACCCGATGGTTCCACTTCCTAAATATCAAAAATTCAAGTTACCATGTCCAGCCCTATATACATTATGATGTGATCTGGAGAAATTTTATTCTGGTCCAATTTTTTACTTTTGGTAATTTAGAATTTTTAGGACTCTATTTCCGATTTTACTAGATTTCTAGGTATTTTAGAATTTTATTCCATTTAAACTTTATTCTAGGTTTTTAGTATAAATAGGTTTATTTCTTTACGTTGTATTACAAGACTTTTGAGATTAAATTAATAGAGATTATTTCTGGTGACTTTATGCTTCAAAAATTATCGAACTTATCAGGATGATTTCTCGTGGCATTCAACCAATCAAAGTGAGATTCGTGGGTTGTGTAATCATAGGGTCAATGTATTCTTGTAATTGGTTCATTGTTTTACTAGATTTCTAGGTATTTTAGAATTTTATTCCATTTAAACTTTATTCTAGGTTTTTAGTATAAATAGGTTTATTTCTTTACATTGTATTACAAGACTTTTGAGATTAAATTAATAGAGATTATTTCTGGTGACTTTATGCTTCAAAAATTATCGAACTTATCAGGATAATTTCTCGTGGCATTCAACCAATCAAAGTGAGATTCGTGGGTTGTGTAATCATAGGGTCAATGTATTCTTGTAATTGGTTCATTTAATTTTCGGGTCGATCTTTAAATTATCCGGGTTAGATTCATTAAATTGTGTGATTAAAAGGTCCACATGTCCTATTGACTACGTAGGTTGTTTAATCCATCATTTTTGAGTCAAAATCCAAAAATCTTATTGTTTGAAACTTTCTTGGGTCCGATTTCAGTCTTCTGCGGGTTCCATAATGGTCGTTGCTACGTGGGTTCGCATCACATTATGTTTTCACCGCTTGTGGTAATGTGGGTTTAAAACCTCCGTGCAGTTTGAAGGTATAATGGTTGGGGAATCAGGCAATCATCTAGGACACACCAGCGTTTTAGTTACCAAGCATAGCCTCTAATCATGAGGGGGGAGTTCATCTGATCGAAAAGTAAGCAGGCGTAGGCCAAGTGCACAAGGTTATGAGCATAACCTGGAAAGTCAAGCCTGTGAATAGCACTTAAGAGACATCTTTTCCTCGAGCAAAATAAAGGGAAAAATAACGTATTTTCAGACAGTTAAAAACTAAATAGATGTGGTTCGATGAATACAAAAACCATGAAATAAAACAGAGTAATACATAGTATCACAAAACAAATAAGATGTTGCGAATAAAATATTTCAACGACTGGCTAAAGAACAGATACGAGAATATCGAAAAAGTAAAACAAGCGTATAACAAATACTTCAGGCTCCCAAATCCCTCAAATTCAAGTGCAGAAAACGTTAATCCAACCCTAGAACGAATCATAATGTTATTTATCTCATATAGCTCATTTTATTCATCTGCAACCTGTATGATTTGTATGCAAATTCAGTTTGCAGAAGTAATATCTAGCTGACAGCCCACTAACTCAAGCTTTAGGTTTGAGTATCTTGGCTGTCTCCCACGTGAAATCGGTATCCTCACGGCCAAAGTGTCCATAGGCAGCAGTCTTTTGGTATCTGAAGTTCCCTCCTCTTTTCAGATCAAGGTTGATGGCAATCATTCCAGGCCTAAAGTCAAAGTTCTCTTTTATAAGGGCTAGTATGTCCTTGTCCGATATCTTACCCGTCTTGTAGGTATCAACAAACACTGAAAGTGGCTCTGCTACACCAATAGCATATGAAACTTGCACTATGCATCGACGAGCAAGTCCAGAAGCCACTACACTCTTAGCTGCCTGCCTAACAATGTATGCACCACTCCTGTCCACCTTGGTAGGATCCTTGCCCGAGAAAGCACCTCCACCATGAGCACCCCAGCCACCATAGGTATCAATGATAATTTTCCTACCAGTGAGTCCAGCATCTCCATGCGGCCCACCAATAACAAATCGACCTGACGGGTTGAGGTGGAAGATTGTTCTGTCATCAAGGTACTGAGCAGGAATCACAGGCTTGATCACATGTTCTTTCAAATCCTTGGCTATCTGATCATTTGTAACAGTTTCATCATGCTGGGTTGAGATGAGAACGGTGTGAACTCTGATAGGAACCATGGCACCACCATCATTCTTGTACTCGACAGTAACTTGGGTCTTACCATCAGGTCTCAGCCATGGGCAAGTCTTGTTCTTTCTCACTTCTGTGAGCTTCGCCCCAAGCTTGGTGGCAAGAACATGAGTGAGTGGCATGAGCTCCGGAGTTTCATCTGTGGCATAGCCAAACATGTGGCCTTGGTCACCAGCTCCAATTTCTTCCGGTTTCTTTGTGAGATGACCATGAACCCCCTGAGCAATGTCTGGGCTCTGTTGCTCAATATTAACAAGGACCTTGCATTTGTCAGCATCAAGGCCAACATCAGCTGACGTGAACCCAATACCTCTGCAGGTATCCCGAACTATCTTCTCATAGTTTATGTTGGCTTTGGTCGTGATCTCCCCAAAGACCATGACCATATTAGTCTTTGTGCATGTTTCACACGCAACTTTGCTATCTGGATCTTGAGCTAGACAAGCATCAAGAATGGCATCTGAGACTTGGTCACAAAGCTTGTCAGGGTGGCCTTCATTGACAGACTCCGAGGTGAAGAGGAAGGTATCCATTTACAGTCTAAGCAGAATACAGAGAGACATAGGTTATGCTAAACATTCAAACAATTTAAAATGTTGCAAAGTAGAAATCTTCCTCGTGTCAGTTTTTTGATAAATTGCTAATAATTTTATGCACTTATATCTTAAAAACAATCGACCCATCTGATTTTAACATAAAGCTTTAACAAAGACGACTATAAAAACTAAGGTCTAACTCCATCTTATAGGGTAGTTTTCCTTACCTAAAGCCAACAAGATTTTATTAGATTTTTTCTTAATCTACAATAAAATAAGCAAAAATTAATCTCAGACATTCCCTGGTAAAATACTCATGCGAACACGGTTCTCTTTGTAAGGTTGATTCATTGCTCTGCTCAAATCAATTAGAAAACAGGAAAAAAATGTTTTGAGGTGTTCAAAATCGCAGCATGATACCGTGATATAGATTCATTCTTAACTTTAATTTTTGATCGTAGTAATTCCATTTCACATAAATACTGGAACAAAACAAGAATTCCCCATGTGCTATGGTAAAATTTTACCACAACAAGAAAGGGTGGTTCAGGAACAAACTCCAATTTTTCCATGTTGGACAAAAAGGATTTGTATCTTCTTCACCAAATTTATGGTCTCACAATATTACCCTCCATTGCAAAGGACATTATACAAATCATGAAATCATCTGCTGATCACTAGAGCAAATTTGCAAAGGTGTTGAAGTACAGATCCACCACAGAATCATACTGGTATATTTTCAGTTGCTAGCCTATATTTTCACATTATCATAGTATTAGTATATAGTATTAACTCTCGAATAAAAATTTAGTATCTTCGAATCCAGAACCTTTTCAAAAATACTAATATGAATTCTGACTTTAAACACGGAATGAGATCTGCATATAATGGAGCGAAAATATGAAATCCTATACGTCGAGATCCAAAATCAAACCGCATTTCTTCAATACTACAAATTGAATACTTTGTAAGCATAAATAGTGAATAAATTAAATACAAAAAATAATCCCAGAAAAAACCAATTCATAGACACTCAATTTTACACAAATAGAGGAATTCATAATCACGACGATGAATGTAACACATTTCTGGACAAAAACTCAAATGGATCTGATAATAAATGAAAGTACTCTCACCAGATCTTGAATCTATGATCCAAACTAGAGAATGCGTACCTTTGTATCACAAACTCTACACCAGAGTATGAAGAAATGCCGTGTGGTTTGAGGGAACAGAAGTAAGATACAGGTAATACATATATAGGCGGATATGGGGCTTGCGGTACGGGCGACTCGGTTGCAACTCCACTCCACCCCAGCAAACAACAACGACCCCTGTGGCTACCAAATTTTTTACCTACTTCGGTGGGTCCCAAATTACGAAGTTGAGTCTCTATAATGATGACAAGTGGCAAGATAAACGATGGAGAATGGTTGGTTTTGGTTTTTCTTCTGGCTGTCAGATTTTGTTCAAAGTTGAAGTTTTTGTCTTTTTGATGTTAACGTGTGCCCCGTGCTCCAAATAATGAATTTTTTAAACTTGCTAATAATGTACAATTTACACGTTTGTGGAATAGATAGCCTTGCACTATTTAGCTTCACTCTACCATAATCTTCTATGCTATTGTTGAGGATCGATTAACAAACAAAATCATACAAAATAAAAGAATTTTCGATATTCATTTAGGATCGATTAACAAATAAAACTTTTTCATAACGAAAAGAGTGGATCCCGAAATTCTGACCCCCTTCCGATAAAATTAAATTGTGGACTAGCTCTACTTCTTGCTTGAGTTTTTTTATATAGAGACAACAACATTATATGGAAACCATAATGTTTTATCAAATTTTACTGAAAATTTGATTTTTACCTAAATTAAACAAGGGCTAACTTATTATTGGAAAAATTGCAGCAAATGTTCCAAACCATTCAAAAAAATGTGTGCATTGGAAAGACCTCAAAAGGTTTTCATCAAAAGGCACATTTGTTGATCAAAGTTAGTGTTTAAACACAAATTGCCCAACTTCAAAAAGGGCAAAATGGTCTTTTAAATTTTTAAATAATTACAAAAGGAAATTTTGCATCAAAAGTCCCGAACCTTTCAAAATGTGCCATGAAGGTTCCAAACCTTTAGTAAATGTGAGTTGGAATTGCATCTAATAATTTTCATCCAAAAATTTGCCAGTTGACAAAACTATTTATCTTCCCAGACCCACATAAACCTGTCGCCTAATCCCCAACTCACCCAACCCCACCCATTGGTAGGTGGGAAAGCCTCCACCATTTAAGAATGGCAATCCCCCTCCCCCCCCTCCCCCCCAAAAAACCCGATACTCGCGAGGACCCTTCTCAAACAGGACGAGAATTACTCACTTAATAGGGTTTCGAATAGGGAACGGAGCGGGGGACTTTACCCTTGGGCAGGTATGAGTAACAAGGGCCCTACCCACATTTTTTTTTGAAGAATTCAATACTTTAAATAGAAAATTTTACGAAATTTCATTAATTCTAATAGAAGATGGTAATTAAGGTTATCTAAAGAATATGACAAAATATAGAAGTCTTAGCTTACCAAACTTTTTTGAATAATTTAACTTCTAAAAAAAATTAATTAAAAAATATATTATTATCCGACTTTTATGAATGTGGACAATAAAATGAATTGTCAAAATAAATAAATAAACTAGTAGTAAACGGGGAAAGGCCCCACACTTCCCACTTTAAACGGATAGCATGGTAGGTACGAGGCGTGGCACGGGGAAGGTTCCTCGACCCTGACCCACGCTATTGCCATCTCTACCAATGTCGTTACTTTTAATTTTGAAGAGAATTTATCTATCATTATTCATTTCTTCTCAGTTTTTTCAAAGATTCTTGTTAGTAAGAAATGAAGTTGACGAGATTGGAAAAATGGGGTTGACGGAGGTGAAAGAAATGAGGCAGCAACAATGACTCGGGCAATTCCGTCAAGATGGTCATTGCAGAGCTCGAGTTTCATGATTCGAGTTGCCATCTCCATTCATTTATAACAAATGAGTGATATTTCGCTAGTAAAGCAAGTCCTAGCGCATTCATGACAATGATTTTGTGTAGTATATGAGTACATCATTTTCAATGCACATGGCTAGAAAGTTTTGCAATATACCATCCGACTTTGAACGATAACTAATGCCTTTAATCTTACAAACTCTTTTATAGAAAACATATTAATTATATAAGTTTCAAATTCATAGTCACCGATCATCAACTTTTTCCAAATGAATTCAACGAGTGAAAACTTAAAACACTTTGACAAAGATTCAAATTATAGAAATCAAGTCTTTAAATTGAAAACAAAAAACAAATAGCAATAGGACATGAACCACTATGTCAATGAGCAATTGTTGGAGCTATTCTAAACAATTGTCATGAATAAGTGTAATTTTTAATCTCTCTCAATACAATTAAATTGATATCTTCGTATATTTCATTAACCAACTTACGTTTTGCCCCTCCATTTTTTGGTGTGATTGCACCGGTAACTAAACTTTAGTTCTGTGTGTTTTGGTTCCTAAATCCAATAGAATGTTCAGCCCGTCATTATATTCTCAGTTCAGCTCTTTAATTTTCAAACTTTACACTTTAGTACCCAAATTCCACTATTCATCCAATTCTCATCCTACACTTCAATTTCTATGCCTAAACTTCCAACATCTTCAATATTGGTCCCTAAAACTTAATAATCATTCGGAATTGGTCCACCTGAAGTTACATAAGTTTTTAATTTATTCCCCAAGCTTTTCAAAAGTTAAATTTTACCCCTCGAAACATATAATTTTCTTCTGATAGCTCTCTTTTTACTTATAATCACTCAAGTGCCATCTAATTAATCTGCTATTGCTCCGAATCAATTTCAATAAACTCCAAAAAGCTCTTTTTCACATCAATTGCCTCCAATTTAGCAATAAATATATAAAAATAGAAACACGGATAAGTGCATAATCTAAAACTAACTTGATGACTTGAGTTAGGTTATGGAGTCGTGAGACCGTCAACCAGATTCTTGCTAGCTTGACAACGTTTTTTGCCTAGCTTTCAAACTTTTTAATGTTCTTATGTTTTAATATTCCTCGACACTTGAGACATGAATATTTGTCCAAGTCTAAAGTTTTCGAGTGTCTAATAAATTATACTTCGTTTAACATTGTGTTCTTCGCCCTTTTACATAAAACAAACTCATGGAACATCATCTTCCTCATATCCATCTGCAAAAATCCCATAAACCAAGAATCTTGCTCGAATTTCAATGTCAACTCCTCTCTACAGCAAAGATGGAATCTACACATCCCCAAGACCACCAATCTCTTTACCACAAGACCCAGAAATCTCTATGGTTCCATTCCTCTTTAGAAATTTTTCGTCCATTGCTCAAACTACTGCACTTATTGATTCCGAAACTGGCCAAATCTTAACATTTTCAAACCTCAAAAAACAAGTTTCTAAGCTCTCTACTGCACTTCTCAATCTTAAAATCTCCAAAAACTACGTAGTTTTCATCTTCTCCCAGAATTCAATCCTTTTCCCTATATCTTTCCTAGCCGTGGTGGGCATTGGTGCTATTGCCACCACTGCCAACCCACAGTATACTACGGGCGAGGTCACAAAACAGGCCGAGGACTCAAACCCAAAACTTATCATCACAACTCATGAACTCTATCATAAAATCATGCATTTGAATCTACCTTGTATTATTCTAAGTCCCAAAACTTCAGTTCATATTACAGCCAATCCAAACATTCAAATATGGTATCTCTCAGATTTGATTGAATCATTGAATTCATCTGAATTGCTACCATTTCCATCAGTTTTACAAACTGATGTTGCAGCCCTATTGTATTCATCTGGGACTACTGGAACTAGCAAAGGAGTGGTCATAACACACAGGAATTTCATTGCCACATCTCTAATGGTAACATCGGATCAAGAGGTTTATTGCGATCCAAAGAACGTGTTCTTGTGTTTTCTTCCTTTGTATCATATTTTTTGTTTGGCCGTAGTATTATATGCGCAGCTGCAGCGAGGGAACGCAGTGGTGGTGATGGCAAAATATGAGATGGAGAAGATGTTAATGGCTATTGAAAAGTACAAGGTTGCACATATGTTTGTGGCGCCACCAGTAGTTATAGAATTGGCAAAGCGGCCAGAGGTGGTGAAGAAATATGATGTTTCGTCCTTAAAGGAGATTGGATCGGGGGCTGCACCACTGGGAAAGGAAGTGATGGAAGATTGTGACAAAAAATTTTCAGAAGCTGTAATTTATCAGGTTAGTAGAAGATTAGTAGAAAATTTTAGCTTATTTTTCTTTCTACCTACTGTTTAGCACAGTCTAGTCCACGTTACCAAAATGAATTTTTTGATTTGGACATATTTTGATGCGAAGTGAAAAAAGCTTCGGTAAAAAGTTTAAATTCATTTTCACCAGTTTATGATGCTAAAAAAGCAGTATTTTTATTTTAAGAATGAAAAGAGTAACATATATATGACTAGTACTAGAAGTAGTAGTAGAAATAAGTTCACCAAAGTCATCTTATGGATGGAGTTCTTGGAACCAACCAAAGCCATCCCTATGCTAGCTATACGCTCTCCCTTTAAGCAAACAAAGGTGTGCGCAAGACAGAAATTAAAGCAAGAGCCAGACCAATCCACCAATCAAATCAGCGGAAAAAAAATGCATTTTGACATGATTGAAAGCACCAAGTCAAAAAGAAAAGGAGCAAGTACGGCTTTCAAACTTGTCTCCCCATTGCCTTAAGCCTGGATACCCAAGGTCGTGGCAGCTTGAATTCTCTTCATCACAAAGGAGTGGAGTGTATATCCTCTTACGCAAGATAGTTTGTAAGAAGTTCCCTAATGTACTTATGCCACAAGGCCAAACTTTTCACGAACTAATTGATTTGAAGTAGTCGTACAGCAGAACATCTTAAAACTCCATTTTTGAAGTTAAAACGTTTTCACTTGGAAACAACTTTTGCCAACAAGTTGGTTCTGCACGTGTTAATAATCTTGAAAACATTGAATTCTCTATTATGGAACCTAAAACTAATGTGGTCCGGGCGCTGCGCGTGGCAGGGCTACGGCATGACAGAAACTTGTGGGATAATTTCAATAGAGAACACAAAGATTGGTTCTTGCCATTCTGGTTACCGGGGTGCTTGTTCCTGGAGTTGATCTCAAATAATAGGTATAAATTCCATGAAATCTCTCCCACTTTCCACAAAGGGGAAATTTGGGTCCGTGGCCAAAATATGATGCAAGGTAAATTTCACATTGTGCTTTAACTACGACTGATTTAAGTAT